TTTTACATATTACATTTACCTACATTTATATATAGAGATAGAATTTAGTATACTATATTTTACTATATATACTACAGTATATCTTATATATACGTATATTTTTACATGATATTATACATAATATACAAATATTACATGATATTGAGTAACTTAGAAAAATATAAGAATATAGACCAAATTATATATATATATCTATAATATATCCTATTGTAGATTGTATATGTGATATATATACGATATATATGTTGCAAGTAGATGTTGAAATTTTATTTTTTTTTTCCAACGAAATTTCTACTATAGTAAATACACATTTTTATATTATATGTATATATAGAATATTTTATATATGTGATATATATAATATGATATATAATAAATTGAAATACTTATAAAAATTTTTATATAATATATGTATACATTATATATTTGATATAATAGGGACTCCACCTACACTTTTATTATTATTAGTATAGAGTATATATATATTTGCGCGACTCCCAATATTAAAAGTTAAAATACCAAAACAAAAAAAAAACAGCAACAACAAAATTAAGAACACAACAAAAAAAAAGGCAAAAAAGAGAAAATGAGAAAAGGAAAAAGAAGAACAAAATATGAGTATTTTATATTTAAACGAGTTGCGTATAAATTAATGCATATTCATATTGTTATACATGGATATATACATATATATATATATATACACATAAAATTTCAAGGTATATATATATATATATAATTTTAGATTTATATCGTTGTACAATGTATGGAGTTATATATATATATGATTTTAAACCAGAATTTTCTTTAAAAAATCAAATTTGAGAGAGAAATGTTTTTCGATAAAAGTATATATACGAGTATCAACTGTTATATAATTAAATATAAGATATATATATATATATATTGGGTTTTTCATTTTGAATTTTTCAATAATTTTTGTTAATTTTATAAAATCATTTATTTTTTTAAAAAATATATTCTGTTCTATTATCTGAATATGTTTTAGAATAGATTTAAATCTTACATTATAGAAGACTTGAAGTACGCAAATTAATGATAGTATAATAAGATATTAGGATTTTATTAAATAAATAAGTATAATTGTTTATAGATTTTTCTACTTAAGAATATTTAACACGTATTTTAATAACATTTTATTAATACAAGTATTGTTAAATACGATAGTGTATTACCTAAGTAATTTAAAAATGTAGAAGTAGATGTGTATCAGAAATTGAGGAAAAACCTAAAATATTATACGAGTACAATAATTATTATTAAAAAAATATAACATAACAATACGAGTATAAGAGAAAATTCTTAAATTAGAATTTGCAAATTTTATTGCAAATTTATCATTTCGAAAATTTTATTTTACTAATTCAAATTCGGCATTTAAAATTTCTCAACAATAATCAATTTTTTTAAAGTAACTTTAATATGTTTACGATACATTTAATATTTTACGTGTAAAATATTATAATTTACATTTATATTTCATAGGTGCGTATAATACAACATTGTCAATGTATGTGTGTTTAAATGAATTTTTAAATTTTTGTTTCGAACTCATAATGAAAGAATAGAATTTTATTTTTTCATTTTTTTTTAAAATAAAATAAGTAATAAAGTTAAAAATGTATTTGTGTTAAAGAGAATGAAATAAAAAAAAAAAAAACAAGAAAATTTAAAAAAAAAAGAGAAAAATTAAAAGAGAAAATAAAAAAAAATTATGTTTTAATTTTCTCATTTTTGTTAATTTTTATTTTTATTATTTAGATTTGCTCTCATTTTGGAGTTATTTTTTTGTTTTTTATTTTTACTCTCCTCTTGTCCCATTATATCTTACATATATATATTAAATGTTTTAGTATATTACAAAATTTTTATATATTTTTCATTTGGTTTTGTTGTTGTTATTTTTTGGTTTTTTAAACTGTACTTATGAGTGTTTTATAGTTTTTATTTTCTTTCAATTTTTTGAGTAATAAAAATTTTGTTCTCGATTCGAAACAAAATTTTTCTCAATTTTTTTATATTTTTTGTTTTTATTGTTTTTTTTTTTTTGATTTTATTGTTATTGTAACATTTCATTTAGACTGTTGCTTTTTTTCCCATTACAACAAAAAAACACAAAATAGTGAGAAAAATGGAATAAAACACAAAATAAAAATCAGTAAAAGAGAAACAATAACAATTCTTTAAAAAAAAAGGATACATTTTTAATGTGTAACAAATTATTACTAAAAACAAAATAAAAAAAAAAGTAAAATATAAAATAAAATTTATTTTTTTTTTGTATATTAAGTGACTCATAGCTGCTTTTTAAAAATAAATTTTTTTTTATATATTACGGCTCAAGTACCGTTATATTTCTTTCATTGTCGTCTTTGTACTTTTCATTTTTCATTTTTATGATTTCTGTTTTATAATTTTGTAATACGTTATATACTTTACTTTTTTTTACATTATATACTATTAATATTTATTTGAATCAATTTTTTTTTATATATCAGCTTATATTTAGGTTCGTATTTTTGTGTTTTTTTTTTCTAGAAAGGAAGGTAATGTACACATAATAAGTAAGTGAGTAAGTAAATGAGTAAGTAAGTGAGTAAGTAAGTAAATAAGTAAGTATGCATGAAAGTAAGGGAATAAATGAAAAAAAAATGAGTAAAATAAGAAAAGAAGAAGAAACAAAAAACGAATACAAAAACGAATATTAATATGTCTGCTGTAATAAAAAATTAATAAAAAAAAAATCATTTTATATATCAATATATGGTGAAAATAATGTAACACTCCTACATAATATAAAAAAAATTTATTTTTATATTCATGATATAATATAACTGTACATTTATTAAGCACTTGTTTATCAAGTGATAAGTTCCGTTTAGTTAAAAAGGAACGAAATAAGTACAATTTTTTCCTTTCTTAAATTTTGTTGAAAAAATAAAAATTCATTGTAATTTAATTTGATTGAAAAATAAGTATACTATTAAGTAAATTTTTATTATTAATTGTATTCTGGCTTAAAATTATAATGTTGTATGTATATGAATATGAAATTGAAAATGCTTAATTTAATAATTTGTTATTTTATTTGACTAGATTTTAAGCTGTTTTATTAGTATTAGGAAAATTCTAGTATTGTGTTGATTATTTTTAGAATAATTTTATGTTAAGATGAATGATAAAATGCTTATTGCAGCCTATGTTTTAGTTAAGATATTATATTTTGTATAAATTAAATATATTTAAATTTCAGTAATGTTATTAATTAAAAAAATATTATTGATTATTAAAATGACATTATCAATATAATAGGTTTTCTTATTACTAATTTCAAATTTATATTGCCATATTTTATATATTCCGATAACATAATACATCTACACTGAAACTCAAATTGAATTTTTTTTTTGAATCGCTGTTTGAATATAATATACACATTTAAGTTTTTCGATTGTAAGTCAAAGTAGTAACTGATGATAAGAATAAATAATATCTGTTTTCTTTTTTTTCTCGAAAAATTCACAAAATCAGAATTTGTTTACGTGATTTTGGAGCAAGACAAATTTATGTTTTAAATTGTCTTTCTCTGATTAGGAATCGTAACCTTTAATTAAGCACTTTCCGAAGTATAAAGTAATTTATTGTAATTTTTTGGTACCGAGAAGGATACTTTGAATTATTACATATGAACCAGATAATTCCACAATCGGTACAAAAAATCATTTAGATTAATAGGCAAGACATTGCCTCTGATTAGGCGCAAAATTTTTCTATTATTAAATTACAGTACAACAAAAGATTCTGATGATATACAATTATAAATCAATTTAAGACTTTATGATTTATGATACAAATTAAGATTTAATGCTACAATTTTGTATTGCTAATCTCATAATGTAATTTATTATTAAGATTAATTTTATTTTATTTTTTTAGTAAGTAAATCCTATAAATATACTCGTTTTTGAATCACTTATTTTTTTGAAATAAGTGTACCCATAATATAATACTGATTTTGAATTGTAAATGTAAAATTAAAAGAATATTAAAATACAATATAATTCACTGTTTTCTATTCTCCTCTCAAATTCAATATCTTTTCAATATATTAGACACAGTCATGAGTATTGCTCAGTATAAAGATAAGGACAAGTTTATGATGACAAGATGAGACAAGTTTATCGAAAAAATCAAGCAATATTATGAATTTTTTTTATATTAATTATTCATTATTTTAAATATTGTTAACTTTCTCACACTGTTAATTCTGTTAAATTTTTAATTTCATATTAAAATCATATTATCGCCAAAAAATTTGTTCCAAATTCTTCCAAACTTCCAAATGTTGTAGATTGTAGATTCTAAGGGAACTGAGTGGGGACAGGAGCATCCCCCCAAGCCACCGCAGCCATTTTTGACTTATTGTAGCCACCCCACCCTCCCGTCTATAATATCCCCGTCCCAATCACAAAGCCGGAGATATCCCTAAGGGAGTTGGACAATAGTTCCCGAACACTTAGGGACCCATGTCCAAGACAATTGCGGCGCCGAACAGCCAGTGCCGGACAGTCGCAGAGAATGTGCACGGCGGTCTCATCGCCACCCCCACTTCCAAATGTTAGCTTTCATTTATTAATGCAATTCAGAGTAGTCATTTTTGTTAACCGTGTCTATTATTTAAAATAGAACAAACAAACTCTTATTATAAATATAGAAAATTTTCATTTTTCCTTCTTTTTTTTTTAATGACAATAACAATGACAATTTAGAATTGTGTATGATAAAAATAACAAAAGATAAAATGTCATATAAAATGTCGTAATTTCTCTTATAATATTAAATACCAAAATAACAAAAAAAAATAAAATTACAAATAAAAAATAAATAAAATGTTAATAGAATTTCATTATAGTAGTTATAAAACAAAAAAAAAAAAAAACAAAGTAATAATCATAGAATAAAAAAAGTAGGACACTTACACATATTTACAATAAAAAAATTCCCGATGTAAAGAAGTGTAGAATAAACCAGCACAAGAAGAAAATCGGTTGACCAAATTTAAGAGCGATGAACAATAATAATAAAAAAAGAAAACGGCAACAACAATAACGGAAATGAAAAAAAAAAACACGATTTCTTATTTATAAATTTTTTTTTGTTTTCTTGCTTGTTTTTTTTTTTTTTTGTTTGGTTTCTTTTTATTCTATTTTAATAAAATTTCCACATTTTCCTTTTTCACTATTATTATTTTGTGAATGTGTGTGTGAGCGTATGTATGTTTCTTTTAATCTAAAATAATTTTATTTCTTTTAATTTAATTTTATTTTCGATTTCTTAAATTGAAAATCGAAAATTGCTGGTTGTTTTTTTTTTTTTTTTAGCTAAAAATCAACTACAATTTCCTGGTTCTTTCTTTATATAATTTAATAAAAAAAAATTTAATGAAATTTTGTAATATTTTAAAAATTTAATTGTTAATTAACATTTCGAACAATAAACAGTAAATCAATATAGTTTACATATGATTAAATTTTCACAAAACTCATGTAAGAATGAGTAAAAAAACATGAGTAGAATATTAAGAGTTACAATTTCTTTCTAATGAGAAGAATGAATTTATATTAAATAATTAAATTAATTAATTATTAATTTATATTAAATAATTTTATTAAATAATTAATTTAAAATAATAGTTTATAAACTATATAACAATACTTTTCCAAACAAATTCAATATAACACAAGTACTATAAAGAAAATTTAAGATTATTTTTTCGAAAACAGAAATATTTTTTTCCAAAAAAAAAAAAAAAAAAATTATTCATGAAACATCACAATTTTTCTAAATTTCATAAAATATTTTAAATTTTAATAATTTTTCCTAATTTATATATATATATATATATAAATTATTTGAATTTATTAATATTATTCAGTGAATTCGTAATTTTTTATATAAAATTATTTATAATAGTTTTTGATTATTTTATATAATAGTTATAATTTTAATTATTTGTTTGGTTATATTTCGTTTTAATAATAAATTAAAATAATATTTTATTATTTTTTTCAAAACAATAATTTTTATTATATACAATTTAATAATTATTTATTTATTTTATATACTCGTATATATATATATTTGTTCTATAAATAAATTATAAATTTATTTTATATTTGAAATTCTTTAAATTATTAATTTTTTGATTTTCTTTCTTCTTCTTCTATATTATCATTATAATATATATACAACGTAATTTATATATATATATATATATATATATATAAGTTATGTATATATATATATATATAGAAAAACGTAAATTTTTGTGTTTTTTTTTGTGTATGAATAACTTATTTATTAATTTTAATATTTTCTATTTAATTATTTTTTTATTAAATAAAAAAAATTTAATAATTTTTCAACTATTTTATTTTATTTTTTTATAATATTTTTTTTTCGAACTTTCACTTAATTTTTTTTTTAAACAATATTATTTTATTTACAATATTAAATTTCATTAATTTTAATTTGAATTACAATATTTTTTTTTTTTATAAATAATTTTAAAAGTTCTCTGTAGTAATTTCAATTGGAAAATATATTAATTAATATTATTATTAAAATATTTGTGATTATTATTGTATTTTTTTTTGCCAATAAATAATTGAAAATTATTAGGAATAAATCGAAAGTTATTTGAAAAGAAATGAAAATATTTTAATAATAAATAATTAGGAATTATTAATTTTTTTTTAAAATTTTTCATTAATTACAATTAATTTAATAATATGAAAATTATTATTTAATAATGTTACAATTAATAAATTAATAAAAAATTCAATTGAATTTATTTATAAAATGTAGAATAATTTCTCATATGCTCCAAAAGAATATTTTTTATTTTTCGGAAAATAAATGAATATAAGGCAAAAAGAACCAACAATAAAAATTTAAATACAATAATATTCACTACTTATATATATATATATCAATATATTGTAAGTATATAAGTATAAAAGTATATAATTATATTTATATATATATAATATTTTTATATTGAAAATATATTATGCGTGTAAATGTACAAAAAAAAAAAAAAAGAACCACAAGAAAAAAAATTTTTTGTATATTTTTTTTTTTATTATTTTTTTTTTTTTTTAATATTCACGGCGAAAATTACATTACTTTAGAAAAGAGAATCATTGACTGTTCGAATGCTTATGAAATCATTTTCAAAATGGTCGTCTTGTTACTAATACTATATTCTCGTTCTCGTTTCGAGAATGAAACAAAAAGTGTCAAACTGAGACACAATTTTTTTTTTTATTCTTGTATTTTTTGTTTTTTTACTTTTCGGTTCGTTTTCGTCGTGTTTTTTTTTTCTGAGTATATTTTTTTCTTGTTGTTGTTCATGTTTTCTCTTTGTTGTTTCTGTTGTTGTTTTCTTCTCTTCTTCTGTTCGTTTTTTTTTTTCATTCAATTTTTCTTCTTGTAGCTTTTTTGTGCTTTTGCTTTATTTTTTTTCTTATTTTCTGTTGTTGCTTCTTTTTATTGTTTTGTTCTCGTTTTATTATTGTTGTTGTTCTTGTTATTATTCTGTCTTTTTTTTTTTAAATTCAATTTTTTTTTCTGTTTTTTTTTAACTGTATCCCTACGTATATTATGTTTCGTAGATTTTTTTATTGTTATTCGTTCGGTTCGTTTTTACCGTTTCTTCTCAAATTTTTGTTTTTGCTTTTCTCTCATTATTTTTCATATATATAACGTAGATAGTATTCTTTTGCTTTCAAAAAAAAAATTTTTTTTTTTTATTTCATATATTTTTTTTTTAAATAAGTATTGACATAAGTTTTCAAGTTATCAAAAAAAAAATAAGAACAAGAGAGAAAAAAATAGAAATTGTGTTAAATGTATTAATGAAGAAAATGGAGAAAATTTATTATTTATTTATTTATTTATTTATACATGGCATGAATGTATAACAAAAGTATGATTACGTATACATACATATTACATACATACGTTTATAAATATGTAGAACAGAAACAGAAGAAAAACAAAACTTTTATAAAAGAATTGAAAATTGTATTCACTCTGACAAATAATATGACAAAAGAAGAAATAAATTAAAATAAATGAAAATAATAATAAAGATAAAAGAGAAACATACAAAAACAGAAAACAAAAAAAAAAAAAATAGAAAAAAAATTTAAAAAAATAATATGAAAAATACCAGAACAGAACAAAAATGTTGATATCCAAATAGAAATATTGCGCATCAGTTGTGTACTACAACAACAAGAACATTATAACAGTAACAGCAACAACAGCAGCAACAGCAACAATAATATAATCAAAAAACAGAAAAACAACAAAAAAAACCTTTACATCCATCTATCAGGATTTTGTTTTTTTGACAGAGTAATTTAAAGAAACAACAAAACAAAAATATAACAAGAAAAAATTGAATGAAAATCACCTCAAATTACTTAATTAATATTTGACATAAAGTATTAAAATTTTTGTTATAAATTGCATTTAATAAAAATACTTTTATATATCTACTTACATATGTATGCAAATATAACAATAATAAATATATTTTGATTCCAATTTAAATTGAAAGTGATTTAAATTTAAAAATGATATTAAGAAGAAAGTATATACTTAAGCATATAAATGCAAATTGATTGCAATATCCATTATACAATTTAATAAAATAAATTTTAATTAATTTATTGAATTTGTATTTAGTTTATCTGGGAGAAAAGAAGATTTAAATTAAGTACGCTAAGATAATAGTAAATTTAATCATTTAAATATACTATAGAAAGCATGTTTTAGAACAAAACATCTCAATTAAATAAATTGATTGGATTTTCAAATAAATTCTCTGGAAATTTTTGAATTTTCACAGTATTTATGGCATTTTCTGGTATTATTAGTATTTATGTTAAAAGTATATAGAAATAGTAGAGTACTTTTACATCGAAATGATATGGAAAGCGATAATTTACCGAAATTGAAATAAGAATTTCAAATTGTTGAATAATATTGCTTCCGATTTATGAAACTACACTTATATACCTATAATATTTTTCGAGAATTTTATTTACAAAAAAAAAAAAATTCTGAATCAAATTGGTTTGATTTGACTCAAGCTATATTACAATAATTCCAGATTTATTTAATCAAAAGTGCTAATTTGTAAAATATATTTTTATACGTGTGTATTATGACAATATTTATAAATCGAATATAGTTACAACAATTCATAATTATCATTAAATTATAGTAATGAAAATGTTAATAATTAAGTATTAGTATTTTAATTAATAAACTAATTAGATTAGATTAGATATGGCGTAATAACGAACCGTGATCAAAGAGATGGTACTCAATTAATTAATTAACATTATAATTTATTTTTGAATAATTTGTCATTATATAACATTTTTCAAAATTTAGCAATGACATATAACAGAAAATGCGGTAGAAATATAGAAATAAATTTTCACAATAAAGCAATGAAAATTTTTTTTTAATAACAAATCTATAAGATTTTCAAATAATTTCAATTATAATATAATTAAATAATTCTTAATTTGAATTTATATAGAAAATTTTCTAATTTACATTGATGATTTTAAGTATAACACTTAAAATCATCAATAAATTACATGTATTACCCTTTGAAAATTTTAATAAAATTAAATTTTATAAAATGTTTTATAGTATATAAAAAATAACAAAACATAAAATAATTGAACTAGGCCAGTACTTTATCCATTATAATATTTTGTATACAGGAAAGGACAGTATCTGATATACAATTTATAATTCATTAAAATTTTACTCTGTAGAACTTTTTGAGTTTATTTTTGTTTTTTTGTTAATTACTTAAGTAAATATCGTTATCCATTAAATTAAATGTCAAGTGGCTTTTAATGCTTTTATTCAAAAAAAAAAAACAAATAGTAAACCATTAACACTATTTAAATTAAAAAAAGTGTCAATATGTCGTAAGTCTAATCGTATGCATATATGTATTAGTGTACAATTGTTTTTAATGTTAAATAAATCAACGATTGTTTTTAACAATAAATTTTTTAAGATCAACATGTAGCATTATATTTTATTTGTTAATATTATACAAAACTTATATACTTATATAATACATAGTATAAAATATGTATATTTACTATGTATGTTTATGAATATATGTATAATATATTGAAAATCGCGTTTTCTATTAAAAATTATTCTTATTTCTCATATTTAAACATATATAATTTTGGAAAAATTTAAATTCATTTTCTATTAATATTAAATTCAAAATTTTTTAAAATTTATTTTCCAAAATTATTTTCCCAAAAAAAAAAAGAAAATATTTAT